ATTAAACGTGGGACACACGTCTCTCTTGTATTGTTTTCAAACCATGATGAAGTAACTCAGACAAATGATCCTCTTTGTTTTTAACCTTTATTTCATTTTATTGTTGTATGTTGTTGATTCTACTTTTCTGTAATAAGTTGTATAAAACTAAATWCAGTCTACTTCTGTATAAATGTAAYAATGATGATTTCTGATAATGATAATTGTGAATAAACTAAGCAAACAAATAATGAATTCCAATAATCCAACTGTTGTTGATGAACTAAAGTGTCGCAGATGTTTTAAGGAGAGATTAAATATGTTGTAAGTTGATGAGAGGTCAGCAGCTTTCCTTCCCATCTCCTTCAATATAAAGAAGTCAAAACACCAGCGAGGCCTGGACCTCACACTGAGCCTGAGGCTGAGTCTACAGCTGAGCAGAGGAAATACAGGAAAAAGAAGCCTCGCAGTATGGAAGTGTGATTTACTGTATCTGTATGTGGATATTGGAGCAGTGTGTAGGTGGCACARCAGTGTACACGAAGAGAGGTTCATTACTGCAGCCCACCTTACTCCACTGGACACAAATACAGGAAGGAGTGGAGGAAGATGGAGACCAAATGGCAGTATTGTTTGTTATTAACTGCATTATTATGTCTGTTTGCAGCTTGAATACGTTTGATCACACTGTCTTACAACATAAATTTGGGCTTTGTTTTATTCTCTTTAAGCCACAAAGATCAAGGTGGGTTTAGAGATAAGGGTTCAATAAAATATGTCCACTACTGTGTATGTCTGCTTTTACAAATGAAACCACAAAACATGATAAAGTTCAATTTGAAGGATTTCTTTTCCCCTTTTTTTTCCATAGGCTGATTGCACACTCAGGACATTTTTTAACACAAGTCATAACTGGTTTAAGTTGGGCTCTATGCATCCTGGGACACTTCCTGTAAAAACATCAGGATATTTCTGCTTGAACTGATTGATGCAAAGWTGTCAGACGTGTAAATTTATAAATAGACTTTAAGATGTTTATTTGGCCTTTTTCTTGATATAGCAGGTAAATAATCGTCCATGGGGTTCATTTAAAGACCTTTCAAGTCAACAAGKTTTTTGTTAACATTGCCAATATTAAACTGTCTTCATTTAAAATGAGCTGTTTTGTTTTCTTCTCCAATAAATAAAATGTTTTGTCTCATAAACCATATCTGACTCGTACTGCATCCCTGCTGTATTCCTGAGCAGATGTGGGATCATGCAAAGAGAAATCCTCATGGACGCTTCAGAACGCAGCGATACACCYCATGTTTGATCAGGCAGAAATTAATTCCTAATCTCCACATGGCTGCCCAAATCAAATCCAGGCCACCACAGCCTCAGAGTGACCTCTGGCTCAGAATCACACAGGCTTGTCCTCCTCAGGCTGTCTCAGTTCACACAACCCCCCGGTTAGATTTCATGATACAACAAAACATTTTAAATGTTCTTTACCGTACAAAAGCATTTCTTATATATACACACACAAACATATAGTATATATACATGTATATAT